TTTTTTTTTTTTGCAAATCTCAAAACAAAAAGACATAGGTCAATACTCTTTACTGTACAATTTTCAGGTAGTGAAAGAAAAACCTTTAATTTTTAAATATAGTCATTCATTATCTAAAAACTGAACTCTTCCTTAATAAAATGAATCTCAGAGTAAACATGCCACAGTCATTTACTTTCTTCATACCTATTTCTTGCAGCATTTAAAACCATTCTTGTTTGCCTCAAAAAGTCTACTAAATTTTGTATTCATGGTTTTGTCAGTCTTTTAGAAATTCTCATTATTACATGCAGATAGTACCCTTATTTACTTTTATATTGAAGGACAGACATGGTGATATTTTAAAGTGAATTTTTAAAAATTCTATAAAATATATGAGATCATGTAGTATATGAGACTGGAACCACGCAATAATTCAGTGAAAAAAATAGACCTGCAACTAATTTTTTGAAAAAGATGATGCCAAAGATAGCTGGACACAGATCAAAAAAAGAAGAGATATGTTGATGGGAAGTGCCCTTATATCCCAAGTGAGTAGTCAGGTAGAAATATCTGTATCTTACAGACTAAAGTTGAGTTTTTTATGAAGATGTTAGAAAAATGAGAGAAAATGGCATTACCTTTTTCCTGTTCTCAAATTACTGTTGTCATATTGTCATTAGTTTGTATAGTAAATATACTCATCAATTTTTATATCTTCCTCTCTGAGGAGTTATAATAATTTTGAAAAATATGTGTGATTCCTAATTTTGTTCTATATTCCTCTATCCATAACCAGAGAATATGTTCCTTAACTTTGGTTTTCTCCCTCAGAAACAAAATTATAGTTCTCTGAGAATTTATCTTTCTGTTTCCCAAGTAAGGATAACAATGACAGAACTTGGCTAGTGCCCACCTCTCAGAGGACTTCAAATAGAAGCTCGCTGACTAACTAACAGAGATTTTACAGACTTGAAATTAGATCAAAGTTCCTTTGGACTCTAAGACTCTGTGATATCAGAACTTACTGGATTTGTGTCCACCAAGGAAACTGATGTAAGTTTGCATGACCCTGAAACATACTTCTTAAGTTTAACTTCAACTGCAGGCCCACCCATGGCATTTGCAGGACCCAGAGCAAGAATGCAAGTAGAAACTCACATAGCAAATGTCTAAATATTTAAAATTATGATTTGAGTTACAAACTGTTAACTATATTATGTTTCATCCTCCTAACTTGACAAATGCCCTTTCATAACAACCAGGAAGGACAAGTTTGAATTTAGAATTATAAGACTTGTGTGATTTCCTTGATGAAGTGTGGAAGAATTGGAAAGTCTAGCCCCTAGCCTAAGAGTCCACCCTCTCTAGGAATATGGACCTGGAAAAGAAGCCCATGCAGGTCTATATAGCAAGGAATTCCAAGGTGACATGTATCAGTTTGTTCTAGAACAGTGATGCTCAAACAGTAAAATAAATTTTGTCAAAATTTTCTATCCCTCTTAAAGCAATGCTTTTATAATATGAAAGAAAAATAAATTCCTAGAATAAATGAAATAAAAACATGAGTACATGGGCAACACCCTCGGGTCCTCTCTCACTGTGGGAGCTTTTCTGACCTTTCAATAAATCCTGCTTCCAAAAAAAAAAAAAGTACAGTCTTATTGTTTTCATTATTAAATTAACCAAACATAAAATTACTCCTTCAGGTTGCTCTAGAAACATTAAAAACTTACTCCTAATTTCTGTACTTGCCATGTTATGGGGGTGGGGGGAAATTATTTTAGGATCTCAAAGGGGAGATTGGGGAGGGACACAGTCTACAATCAGGCAGGCGTATGCCTGGACAAGAATTGTGCTAGAGAAAGATTAGAGTGGGGCCTGCTATCAGTAGAGAATCAGGAAACAGACCCACCATGTCCAAATTTCAAAACAGTATTATATATACATTACATGGCAAATTTTTAAGAACATTGAAAACCCCAATTGAAGGACATTTATTTTAAATATGCTTTCTTAACAGGCAAAAGTAGTCTTCATTTAAATTCTTATTTGGACTTATTCTAAGTTCTCCAGATACTTTTAGCGTTATCAGATTAAAAGTCCTAAAAGTATGCAAATTTAAGCTGCAAATTTAAACTCACAATTCAGAGATTTGAAGGTACTGTCTTTTGTTGTACCATATATATGGTCCGGTTGAGTATTCTCTCTCCTCTCTCTCTCTCTCTCTCACTCTGCCTCTTTATCTCTACCATTATCTCTGTGCTCATTTTGACTCCAATGGAGCTACTTAGAAGGAATTTTTTTTTCTCCCAAGTTTGGAATAGCATTTTTTATTCCTGGCAACGTCACGGTGATT